AGATATTCACCCTTCAAGGTTTCGAATTCAGCTTTCATGCGCTGGTGCGTGAAATTTTTAACTGTCCTCCAATGTTTGAACTATTTTTGCATAGACTGAAGTACAAAGCAGTGACAATCATTAATAGGCAATCGTTCGACGGGCTGAATCGCACAAAACGGATGATCGCACCGACTAGTCTGGTGCGCGTTGCTATTTATTTTCACATAAAAAAATGCGTTGCATTCGGTCTGTACTCACAACTCATGAACCAAATACTGACTGCTTCCTAACATGTTTTCGTTGCACCTGTAAAACTTAGACTGATCTTTTGTCTTCGAATTTGTTATTTTAACTTTTTAAAATCTGATTTGAATCAATAATAATTTGGAGAGCAAAAGACCTATTAACTGCGTTATTGTTGGCGATGCTGAAGTTGGCAAAACGTCAATGTTAAAAGTACTCACTCACGAAAGTTTGACTGTGCCTGATGAATACGTACCTACTGTAAGATTTTTTCCTTTACAGTACAAACCGTGTGCAGCTTTTTTGCGGCTGAAATTACAATCTTGTTTTTTCCGATAAAAGTATGTAACCAGGCTGGAATGTACCAGGCTTGCAGGTGCGATCATGCGCTTTTGCATCAGACTCGCAGATCGCTAATAGCAGGAATGATCCCCGCGCTTTAGCGTAACACTTGGGCTCGTAATAGGGCTGCGTGGACTTCCAAGTACATTTTTGCATGAAGCCCGGCCGTTTTTCCAGTAAATACTCTCTTTTTGGGAAAATGAAAAATCCCAGTTCACTAAAAAGTAGAAATGATGCTAGTGCGGTCATTCGTCAAAAATCCAAGTATGCAGGTGAACTAATGTATATTTAAATGAGGGTAGTCGTTCGCTGCAAAACGCCCTCCTGATTTTTCAGTAAAGTTGAGTACTTCTCGTAATCACCTGCGGGGAATTTCACTTTCAAGCAGAATGAAGACCGCACTTGAAAATAAAATATCTCAACAAAGTTTCAGCCCCGCACCTTATCCGGTAAGCGAAATAGCCACTTCGATACAAATACCTTTGAAGTGCCCCAAATCGGTACACATTTTTTATCTACGATTTCCCATATGGGTGATAAACATGCAGACAAAACTTCAGCCATTGTTTTTCGCTAAATTTTCGAGTTAGCACAGTACCAAATTGCGAACTTTGACGTGATCATACACGCTGCACAATTGTCCGAGATAGTTTAGTTTGAAATTTTTAGCTCGTAAATGAACAAAGAATATTCCTGCAAAGTTTCAGCTTTGTACTTTGCCTGGTTCGCGAAATCGTTCCTTACCAAAGAGCCGTACGCGGGGTTTAGGCAAGTATGAACGAAAGTTTTAAAACGGGAAGATGACACACGGGGTATGAACATATATCCAAAATTTCAGCCTTCCAGCTTTCCTGCTTGCTGGGATGAAAGTGGGTGACAAAGTTTACTCGTTTTCGAACACGCACACAGATGACCTCTCGACAATACGCGTTTTTTGCTAGCTGCTGCTATAGCGCTGCACAGCAAAAACGCATAAGAATTGGCAAAAATAAGACCCAGGCTGGAATGCACCGGGCGGGCCCGTGTGATCATATGTTTTTGCACCGGACTTGAATTACTCAAGTCATTAACTATATGAATGATTGTTGCTTTACACCTACCTTTTGCGATCACTAGAATAAATTACCATAAATTTTGCATAAAGTAGATGTACAATTTCCGTTTAACGATCGTTCTTTAAAAGTAACTTAGTTGCTCAGTCAAGCATTCAGCCAAAATTTTAAGCGCTCATACGTAAGAGCCACGCGTAACTCAAGGCTGAATTTGAAATACTTAAGTTGTGCCTGAACAGGGAACATCCTCTCTAAAATTCCAGCTTTCCAGCTTTTCTAGTTGCGAGTTAGTAATTTTCCCACAGGAACTTTCATAAGTCCTTACGTAAGCACCACGCATAGCTTGGGGCTGGATTTGAAATATTTAAGTTGTACTTGGACAGTGAATATTCTCCCAAAATTTCAGCCTTCCAGCCTTTCTGGATGCCGAGTTAGCAATTCTCCCGCCAAAAATTTTACATGTCCGTGCGTGAATGCCCTACGTACCTGAAAGCCGAATTCAAAATTTTCAAATTGCACGCGGACAGGGAACATCACCCCAAAATTTCAGCCTTCCAGCTCTTCTAGCTGCCGAGTTAGTAATTTTCCTGCAGAAGCTTTCATATGACCTTACGTGAGTACCACTGATAGCTGGGGACTGAATTTGAAATATTTTAGTTGTACTTCGATAGGGAACATTCCTCCAAAATTTCAGCTTTCTAGCTTTCCTTGTACCCGAGTTAGCAATGTCCCTCCTAAAACTTCCATACGCCCTTAGTGAGTACCACGCATACCTGGAAGCTAAATTTGAAATATTTTGCCAGTACATGCACAGGGAATAACCCTACAAAATTTCAACCCTTTAGCTCTTGTGGCTCTCAAGATCGCTTTCCCGTCAAAAAATTTGCATATTTTTTTAGAGCGTCCGTACGCGGCACCCAGGCGTCCACGGAGAATGAAATTAAAACGGGAGGGTCGCGCATGGTAGAGGCACGTATCTCCAAAGTTCCAGCCTTCCAGCTTTTCTGGTTCTCGAGTTGAAAGTGGGTGACAAAAAGTGCGAACACAATCACACATACATACACTGCCTCTTCCCAAGGCAACTATGGGCAAATTTAAATGGGAGAAGGTGTTTTTAAGCTCCTTTCAATATAAACGTGCCATAGTGTTTGTAAATTGGTTTTGGTCAGAGTCTGGCTGTCAGTAGATGTGGTAGAAATAAATTTGAACTGGAAAATTTTCACAAATTTGAATTGTATCATGCGTCTCTGATGTGCAAAAACAAGTTATTATACCAAAGCTTTTACCAGACTTATCCTGTTCAAAGTAATTACTTCACCTGCTATGTGCTGATGGCAGTGATCCTGAAAATTACTGCGGAACGAAAGATCTGCGATCCGTGCTGAAAGAATGCGCAGCATTTCCAATGATTTGCCAGTGTTTGTTTTCAATCAGTAAACCGTTCGTAAATGAAAACATAAATTTTAATTTTCTCATAGTTATAGATTTTTGATTTGGACGGTCGGCTTTTCACTGACAGCTTTTTTGGATCGCTTTCGTTCAAAGTCTACGATACAGCAGGCAAGGTTCTTTTTGCTTTTAGTCTCAAAATCTTTCTTTTGTTACTCGTCTTAAAATACAAGGAGCTTAAAACTACACATTTTTTTGATTTAGTGCCATTCAAAGAAAAAGGCCAGCTATTCTTCGTACACAAATTCTTGTGAGGTTATCCTCACCCCTCAATTTTTCCAAAAATTGACATCGGTTTAGTGCCGCAAGTCAAAAGTCAGAAGTCGAAATTGAGGTACCCGGAAGTAGCCTGAGTTGTGCTAAACAGCAACCACTCACTGCCAAGGCTTTCGATGGCTCCCCCTTTCCAGTGCTGCTAAAAGGCAAGGTGATGGGCAGTTACTACCAATTGACCGGTACAGTTACATGAACGACTAGTAGGAACGGATCGGGATATATGATCCAATAGAAATGTTTCTCGGCCAAGGAATCCAGTTAGTGGATTTTTTTTTTTTGTAATTTCTCGACGCATTTTAATTTCAGCATTGGCTAGCAAGAAATGACAATAAGTAGACAGAGCAATGTTTTTCGTCCGAAAAGTGCCAAACCGAAAAATTGATGCCTGGTCAAATTTGAACCGATTAGTTAATTTGATTTAACGCAGGATTGAAATGCACAAGAATATTTGCAGAGCCGATACGATCGTCTTCGCCAGTTAACATGTCTCGATGCAAACGTTGTTATAATCTGTTATTCGATCAACTCTCGAAGCTCATTCTGGGATGCCGAATATCGAGTAGAGCTAATTTGCTTAAATAAATTTGTTAAAGCCGAGTCTTCTGAACTCCCAATCAAACAATCTCAGCTATCGTTGATTTCTGGTGGAAGAAGCCTGACCTGAAAAAAATCGCTCTGACGTGGTCTTACGTGGTCTTATTTACAAATATAAATCAAAAACAATGTCAGGCGCTGTGTAAGACTTTAAAAAAATTTGTTACTTGGTTTGGGAACGAAGACGATCAAGAATTTAAAATTTGTTTTTGCAAGCCATCATTGCAGGCGTGCGTCCTAATACTGCTTGAAGGGGCGAAGATGGAAAATTTTCAGAAATCCAACGTTTAGTGATTTTTTGACAGAAATTTGGAGAATAATTTCTTAACCTACCGATTAGCACTTTTTTCAATATTAGTACAGTAAATGAAAATTTAAAAAGTAATCAATCAAATATAAAAGTATTACTAACATAATCAATGAAGCCAATTACCCCCTCCGCATTTTTTCCTAGCACATGCCGATACCAATTTTTCACCGAAACGAATCGCACAAGAATAGACAGTCATTAAAAAAAAAGTGGCGCCTTCTTTAAAATCATCAGCAGAATCAAACTTTTGAACCGCTGGACGGCAAACACAGTGTTTCACTCTTGCGCCAGACAGTGCTACCCTATTGCTCCATGCTAATATAATAACAGCTCAAATCTAATGCATTTTAAAGAAGGCGCCACCAGCCTTCTTGAGCTTCATCATCCTTATTCCTTTTTTTCACATCCTTTCTGTTTCCCCATTCACAATAGTTCGAGGCGTACGATTTGCGAGTAATGCAGCTTTCGCAAATGCAGATTGAAGTTGTTGGGATATAAGAATTACTTGCAGTGGTACGATGAGATCCGATTTGGCTTTTTTCCCAGAGCTACACCTTTCGTTTTGGCAGCTACAAAAATCGATCTTCGAACGGACGAAAGCATGAAAATAATACTGAGGGATGAGCGAGATTCGATGGTTTCAAGCATCGAAGGCAGAAACCTGAGCCGTCGCATTGGAGCATTTGCATATGTGGAGTGCAGCGCTAAAAATCGAGTGCGTGCTAATCAGACTGGGAAAGTGCCCGCTTCAAGCTGATTTAGTTTATAAACAAAAAGTTTGAATCTTTCCAGTATTGCGAAAAATTGTTGAACCTTAAACTATTACTATTGTTGTTACTAAATTTTATTAATTATTAAATCTTAGTGAAATCTTTGAACCAATCTTTCCACTCAGTCTGATCCTCAGTACTGCCAGGGTGCACCTATTCCGAAAAACTTTCACCATTACATCAGTAGAACCATCTGCTGTCGGTACTTCCGTGCTGGTTTAAGCTCTATTAGTTATGCCCGATGTGCATTTGTAGACAACAGCAGAATTATGCTGAGCAATTATAGCACATTGCAAAAGTTAATGTGCCGAAAATACTTCAGTTTGTCATTTTTCCAGGAATCCGTCGTGGACGTATTTCGCACAGCACTATGCGCATACTGCAGTTGCAGCAATGGATCGGAAGCAGACGATGTAAAATCGAAAAAGAAAAAATTGCAACAGAAGCTAACACAGACACAACAATTATGCTCCGTCTGTTAATCAGTTCATTTAAATAAATATTGATCACCATTGCCTTCTGCTCATTTTATATCTGCTTAATTCGCTCAAAAAACTGTTGCGATTATGTAAGTGAAATGACTTGGTGAGGTGAAGGTGGCTGCCTCACTACTCTGAGGTTTATCGAAATTATCCTTGTGGAAGGAGGTGGAAAATAAGGGTAAGGCTCAAAGTACAGCGGGAAAAAACTAAAACCAACAAAAAGGAGTTAATTGATTTAAAAATGTACGAAGGGGCTAAATTTGGATGGAATTTTCAGTAATGCTGTTGCTATACGGACTAGACATAGGAATAGATCTGGAAGTCGGAAAAACAAAAAATAATCAAAATCAATCAAAGTGAAGGCTCTAGAGAAACTAAGGCTGAGATTCTTTTAAACAATGTTTTCGGCTGTGTAGGAGGACAGGGATCTTGTGGGTGGCTCTGTTTTCTGATTTGTGACTTCTGTAACTGAAGAATGAAAAAAGGCTATAAAACAATTTTTGTTATTTTACTACATTATGCGCTACGTCATAATAAATCTGCTAATAAGAAATATCAGTCCCACAGTTCCAGTTACTTTTTAAAGGGATAGTTCATTAGTGCAGTGTTCACAACTTAATGACAGAGTCCAGTGCATCAGCGGTAACAGCAAGCGCAGTAATTAACAGTGATAAGGCCGCGATGCTGTGGAAACATCGTTTACCAATTTTTTAGTCCATCAAATCGAATGATAAAAAATCTAGTAAGGAATGGGGCTGAGAAGTAATGTGGCTTGGAAATTTTTGAGAAATGAGTGCTCGGATTGATTTCTAAAGTGCTTTTGTGAAGGCATTTTCTTGTTGCGCTTTCTTATTCATGTCTAATGCAGCACAAAAACGCGTTTGGGCAACAACACGATCCTGTATGCGTTTGGCTGTGCAAGTTCAGATATCTGACTCAACTCTAGAACTTACTCTTCGAAAGATAAGAAACTGAAATTCATGGATTGAAATTCAATCCATGAATTTCAGTTTCTTATCTTATCTGAAATTCAACGCAGACGTGAAAAGTAAGCAGTCACGTTCCCCTACTTCTTGAAGCAGTGATTATGAAAGATTTGATAAGCCCCGCCCTTATGCCAGAGAAATGGTTTGCAGTTTGGCATCACAGATCCTTTCCAGAGACTAGGCTCCATACTAATACATGACTGTGTACCGACACAAGGCGTATTCAATCGATGCATTGGTCAAAAAAAAAAGAAACGTGGCGAATGAGTAAGATTTTGCTATGTGTTTTTACTGCATTCGCTCAGAGTAACCTGCACAGTCTGCTGTTCCAGAAAAACGTAGCTGCGCCACTTGTCAGTTTCATGGTGTGCATCGCTATTATTTTAGCTAGCAATGTGACATCAAAAAATATGTAGTGATCAGAGTGGCACGAATAACTGAGCTGGCAAGGACCCCTTTCCCACACAAATCTTTTGCATAAGAAGAAGGTGGATAGCAGTGGTGACGCATTACTACTGCATTCGAATTTTCAGTGCTGTGCCAGAGCGGCACAGAGGTCGCCGGCGAGGGTCGCCGGCGAGGGACGCCGCCGTAGTCATTAGCATAGCAGTTTGGATTCGTGTTCTGTGTTTTGGTGTTTTTTGTATCAGGAGAATTTTGAATACAGCAGGAAAGTCCTATGTGTGTTAAGTGTTTCTTTCTTATTTTTGGTTCGATAAATTCTTGCAGGCCTATCAGACCAGCAAACATTTATGGTAAATATAAATCTTGAAAAGGAGACTGCTTTTTTGACCAGGCGTATCAATTTTTACTCGTTTTTTTAGAGGGGAAAAGATTTGAAATACCTGCTTCATTCCGTTCTTGAATTGGATGAAAAGCTTTACGCTTACGATAAAAAAAGGTCAAAAAATTGGCTCTCCGTCTTCTGATTACCACTATGAAGATCTTACGACAGTATCATTTTTTTCTCTTTGTTCAAGAAAATCAAGAGATTGCAACAGCATTCAGAAGTTGATCAAGGAGTGCTTGCGACAGGAGTATCTTAGTATTTTTTCATTCTTTAAATGCAGGGGTTATAAATTATCTTTTCATAAAAATGATTTTTCTCATATTTCAAATATTTTCGGGAGTTTTTTTAACATAAATTTAACGGAAGTCTAGGACTGTTGTATTTTCGAATATTTTTCGAACTTCCTCAAAGAAGAAATAAAATTTTTCGAATTTTTCTTCATGGGCTTGCTTCAAAAAAGCTGATAAATTTTGCTTCTCTGTTCACTGTTCGAAGTATGCGATAATCAAATTTTTGGAGAATTTGGAAGTCGGAAGCAGAATTTGAGCACTTCAACCATCAATTTTAATTTTTCGATAGCTGAAAATGCAAGTTCTGTGCTTTACTCCGAGTTGCTTGCTTTGTAGCAAATTTATATTCTAGGCAAAAAAAGAGAAATGTTAACACAAAGGCTGAACGAAATCTGACCATCAGGCAATAGGCTGAGGAAAAGAGTAATTTGGGCCTTGCGGAAGAATCTAGATTTTACTAGGCTTAGCTACTCCTTCAAATTTCACTTAGCTAGCTCCTGCTCTCACTTACTATTACTCTTCAATATCCTCAGACTAAATTTGTTTTGAAAAAGCCTGGCTTTTGATCGTTGCTTTTTTTCAAAATTGTACACATTTTTAACAGTTTTTTCGACTAGCACCAAACATATTAAGATAAGATCTCGCTTCATATTCGTATTTCTGCACATGCACATTGGTGTGCGCGTGTTTATCTGTGTGTGCATATTTATGATGTGTGTATGTATGAATATATCTATGTGTGTATGTATTTATATATGTATGTATACATTTGCGTATGTGTGTATGTATATAGGTATGTATGAATGTATGCATAGATGCACATTTTCTGTCTCCAGAACTACCAAAGGTAGGGCTATAAAAGTTTGTAGAAAAAAATCCTGGCCGCCTACAAGTCTTCGAACTTGAAAAAACCCAGGCTGGAATGCACCAGGCGAGCCGGTGCGATCATGCGTTTTTGCATCAAACTTTGAAGTACCGTCT